AACTTGCAGCACCTTATTGGTGTATGCACCAGTCTCCGCTGTGTGTGTGTTGCACCCCAATGCACTCACGCTTCCCACACACAGGGCAGCCTTGTGTATGTGGGACGTCTTTGGGGACCACTATGATGAATGGAGATCGCATCTGTGTAACAGAGCGAGAACTGGGCCAGTACTCATAACTGTGTCTCCTGAGTCAGAACACTGATCCAGGATCAAAGTTGCCTTTTAGTCTCTTATGGGTAAGGTCAGGACATTGAGCAGGGAAACCTGATCCTGGATCAGCTCCATTGCTATGCGATATATCTTGCATATAGGCCTTAGGCACACTTAGGACTCACTGCAGATGTCCAATCATTGGGCAGGGAAAGAAGAATTAGGAGAGGGAGAGAATAACTATCTGAAGCTTGTAGCTTATGTTTACAATGCATTATAGCCAGAGGAAAATCAATGTTTGGAAAGTTATAGTCCTTTCTAGAATGGTTTTCCAATCTCCTGGTTTTGCCTAGTTGTTCAGTTCTTTGGATTGCGGCTAAAATTAATCAGAGAACACTTTGTACTTGCTGTATTCAGTGTTATAATATGATTATTATACACATATGTGCTTATAGACACTCAGTGCTTTCTTTATAATAAATCAAAATGTCCATGTATAAATGCATTATAAAACACTTATAATGCATTCTGATCAGCTCATAATGATTATAATCATTGTTTCAAACACCCATAGATGCTTTATCACAATAATTGGAAAGCTCTGTAGATGCAACAGTGACTATTGGTGTTTTTTAGGTGTTTTATAACAAAAATATAATATATTGCAAATAAGTGAATCATTATACACTATGATCCTTGCAATATGTATGCCCTTGAGTAATGAGCTATTACATTATGTTACATTATTTATTTATTTGTTTATTTTCTTAATACAAAATGCCTTATATTTTACAGATGTAATGTGATAATGCATTTGGACTTCGGCATTAGTCATTATGGAATGCTTTGTAATAAGCACTCTTTATAATTATTGATTTAAAGCATTGATTTAAGGTGTTTAGGAGTAGCCATAGCTGTAATTATAATGTACAGTCTTGTGCAAATTAATTGGATAAAGGTGCTTATCAGTTAAATGAGCTGAATGGAGGGCAAATAGCTGTGCCAAGTGATGGATGTTTTACACAACCACCTCAAAGATCACTGCATAGAACCTTTTAGCCACATTTCATTAATTTCCTTGACTTCTATGATGCACTAATGTGATTACATCATCAATACAGTACTGTAACTGTGTTGGACTGGCCTGGTAATTCACCTGACCTCAATCCCATTGAGAATCTCTGGTCCTTCATCAAGTGAAGGCTGCAGCAAAAGGACTGCACCACAAAAGCCAAAGTCATCGATGCAGTTGGCCAGGTGTGGCGTCACGATGAAGAATCAAGGCAACCTGCTAAAACCTGGTCAGCTCCATGCCAAAACGGGTGGAACAGCTTATCAAGATCCGTGGAGGACACATCTCGTTCTGAGTGCTTAATGTAGATACTATTGAAGTAATAAAAAGCCTGAAAACCTTTGTTGTTTGGTTTTTCCCACTCCAGCCTGCTTTATCCAATTAATTTGCACAAGACTGTATTATGAGCAAGTTGTAACATATAACATTGCAGTAACAACCGCAATCAGACTGTTAAACTGACCCACCTAATCATAGTCACCAGTCACTTTTTCACTTGTTAAAAATAGTTAGAGAATATACATTTATCTATGTAACCTAGTGGAGGTGTGCATAGTGAATATATATTTATCTACATTGTGTATACTGTATATATTTATTTCTCTGTTTTTTTGCTATTTTATTTTAACCTTTTTATATATTTATCTCTGATTCTTTTTTTTTTTGTTATTGTTATTGTCAACTTGCTGTAACAAACTGATTTTCCCTCTTTGAGGGATCAATAAAGGGTTATCTTATCTTAATACCTTCAGAATAGTAAATATGCTCACGTCATTGAAAGTGTTGACCATGATTCCTACGACAGCATAGCTACTAAGATATGGACAGATAATCTGGACAGGGAAGTGAGAGCGTGGAGCTGGGAACGGTGGCTGTCCAAGGCGAGATTCCACTCATCATGGCGGCATGTGTTAAAGTGGTTAGAGTTCTGCATTCCAGACCTGAGAGTCACTGACTGTTGTTGTTTTTATTTCGACTTCAGTCCAGGCTGAGGACTGTTCCAGCTCTCTTCCAGGATGCTAACATTGTCAGACCCAATTCTACACGGGAGCAAACATATTGCTATAGACATTCGTGCTGAGGTGCACTGATCTGGCCTTCCAGACTTGTGCTGTTGATTTTTGTTCTTTTTTTCTTTGAGCTGGGATGAATCCAGACCCAAGACAGACCAGGGCTCACGATTCAGAGGGCGCTCAGAGAAGGAGTGCTTTTGGGAACAGTTTTGTCTCATGGTTCACGCTGGATATTAAGAATATGCTCGGCTGAAACCTGAGCCTAGATCAGTACTTTTACCCAGAGACGTTGCAGCGAGTGCTGGCCCAACTGAATTGAATCACTGCCTTAACTGAGTCATGATTCAATAAGTGTTTTCACAAGTATCAAAGGAAAACAGCAACATTCTGGTTCTGGGAGGGAGTCATACAGTAAATACCCCTGTAGTGAAAAGTACCTATTTTGTTATCTCATGTCAGGCTTGTATGCAGATAATGCGCTATTGAATGTTCAAGTACAACTTTTTTTTTTTCTGCTAAGGTGGAGATATGTAGTATCTTAATACTTGTATTTGTTTTAATTTGACCAAAGTATATCATTAAAAAAAAGCTCAGGAACTCACGGTGTCGGCAAAACATCAGAGGAATACCTGAAAAAATGGCTTTGACTATGAAGCCTCTAAACTACCATTACAGGAGTATCGTCACCAGTGATTTCTGTTAATTTGAATGCTAGTTAATGGGATGCTTTGCAGCATGTGTTTGATTAACAAAGGTCTAACCAGCAGTGCTTAGCTAGTCTGTAAGTCTGAATCGCGAGATGAGGATACTGGCGGAGATGAACACTGGACCAAATTGCTGGTGCGTCAGTCAAAAAAATATATTTAAGCTGCCAAGTTAAAGCTCTGCAACAGGGACAGACAAGCACTCAGTTGGATTCTTGCTAATAACCAAAGAAATACATCTCTGAAAATAACCTTAGGATCAAATCAATCCAGCTCTGAACCAGTCTCAACAAAAACAGCATGTTGTAAGCTTCGCAAAGCTGGTATTTACCGTAGTGCTTTCAAATTTTCTTTTATTTTTAATTAATTTCGCATCTCCAGTTCCAGATTCTCCCAAATCTGGAATACCCAATTCGAGATCTATGTGCAAGGCTTGCTCGTATGCGACCCCATGTTGCCAGCTCAGGAGAGAGGGACAGTTCGTGGCTCTCCTCTGAAGCACGTGCCTGTCAGTACACTCATAGCTCGAAACTTCGCAAGTTCAGAACGAAAGCGGAGCATACCCGAACATGAACAAGCTAAGAATTGGTAGTGCTTTCAATGATTCGACCACCCTCGGCCTGTCTGAGAGCATCGTTGCTCATTAATCGTTTGCGGAAGATATTAACAGTGTGTAGACGGGGGCGGGGAGGAGGGCTCAGGTGTCACCTGTTCTGGTCTGCTCGCACCTAAAGGACAGCTATCTACTGACTGCGGAGTCGAAAGACGCAGTCAGAAAGTTGACAGTACACATGCAACCGGTCTGGAAATGTGATCTGACATTTTGGTGGTACTCTGGGAGAAAAGAGCCAAAAATAGTTGCGTAAAAAAAAATCGACTGAACACCTGGGCTGCGAATTGTGTACCCAAACTAACATGCCTGTGTCTTTGTGTGCTGCTGTGTGCCTCTTATAGGTCTTTATCAGATATTACTTTACATTACAGGCATTACCAGAGCCATTTACAGCATAAAGTGCATATTAGAAGGACCAGAAGTACTGAAAACACTTAAACAGGTGGTAGCAGTCCAAGTACTGGTGGTGATTACAAGACTTGGATCGCGCTGTAGTCCTACTAGAACAGTTACAGCCGCAATCAAGTTATAAAGAACGTAAAAAACCAACCAGCTGCCAAAATTTAGATATTAGCAGGAATGTCTACATTGATACCCACTTACTCCTTTGAGTCATTTGTTTGCAGTGTGTCCAATATCTCAGTCCTTATGTGTTTGCATGCGGTTGTGTTTCTGTGTGTTGGTCTTTTGTCTGTGTGTTTTCCTTATTATGTGGTCTATATTGGCGTCTGGGATCAACATGTTTATATTTTTAATATGTTTGCTACCTGCCTGTGAGGTCGATAGATTTATGTTGGTAGTGTGTCTGTAGGCCAGTGTGTTTGGCTTTGTATTATCTGTGTGGTGTCAGTATATTCTGGTTACGATAGTGTCTGCGGGTTCGTTGTGTTTATGTTTGTGGCGTGTTCGTGTTTTCCCAGTGTGTGTGTGTGTGTGTGTGTGTGTTTGTTGTGTCTGTTCCATGGTCCAGCGAGAGGAATTGGAGAAACAGCCTGTGAGCTGTGGTTGAAAGAATTTTGATTCTCTGTGTACAGAGAAACCAGACCACAGAAGCTGGGGCTTTTCTGAGGGCTCCTCTCGACTCTCTCAGGTCCTCGCTTTCATAATCCCCTCATCCTGACTCTCTGTGCGCTGCTCAGCTGACAATAAGTGACAGTAAATCATCCCTGTTTCAATATATAATGCAGTAATTTAGTTGACAGTTTTACTTTAATTTTGTGTGTTTCTTTATTGTCTAAGAACAATTTCAGTAATTTTTCAGCTACCTTATGTCACCTGCCATACTCTTACTCATATTCTGAGTACAATACCATTCATTCAAACCAATGGGCAACATAGAGTGTTCAGCTGGCCCTGCAGTCATGTCTTTGGACTGTGGGAGGAAACCGGAGTACCCAGAGGAATCCCACATGAACACGGGGAGAACACGCTAACTCCACACAGAGAGGCTCTGGGCCGGATTCAAACTCACAAACTTATTGCTGCGAGGCAGCAGCGCTACCCGCTGCGCCACTGAGCCGCGCAAGTTTTTTGGTAAAATGGTTCATTTTTGTATCAGTTTTCATACAAACATTGGTATGTTTTCAGGGAAGTGTTTTTTATTTATTTATGGAAGTCTTTTCGATGGACTGGGGCATTTTCCCCTGCCCATCAGTGCACACTCTTATTTCCCAAATCCCCATATTTTATTACTGAATCTCTGGACCCGTTTCATGCAGTTGTTATTTGGCTGTTCCTGTTCTCTGTCTCTCTCCCTCAGCCTCGCTTGTTTCCTCCCTTCTCTGTCTCTGTTTTTCTCCATCGTTCCAGGGCATTCTCTCCCTCCGTTACACGCAGCAGCGGCGGCACACGGTTTTAATAATGCAGAGATGGAGGGAGGAGTGGAGGGGGAAAGCAAACGAAGACGCCAAAACTCTGTGAAATGTCCGTCCGCCAGTAAGTTTTACAGCAGAGTCATAACTCCCCCGCCGCTGGAATCCAACTCTGTTTTTCTCCTTTGTCAGAGAGGAAGTGTGTTGCACAACAACCGAACGGCGGAGCCAGCGAACGGAGAGAAGGAGGGAAGAGGGAGAGGAGGGGTGTGGAGTGTGGCTGCCTGGCAGGCCGTGTTTTGGTTCCTGAAACCCACGTTGTCCCAGGAGCGGGCTGAGGAGGAGCGACAGGTCGCCAATATAAGGCCCAGAACCAGAGCTGCCCGGTGGTGTTTCCCTCCATCTGTGCGAACATTGCGGATTCTCCCCGGATTTAACCGCTCGACACCCAAACCTGGATTTATTTTAAACACTGCTTCTCTCCAGCACAGCTGCTTTGCGTGTTTATTTTCATGGATTTACTACGTGTAGCGTGCGTTGCGTTAGCTGTGCTTACCGTTTTTTAAATGTGGTGCTTACCTACCAGGCAGCCTTGTGACTGAAGTTGGGCAGGATGGCGTTCCTGTTTGACATCTCAAGTGTAGTCATTTGGATTTGTAAGCTGAGCAGTACTTTGTTCACACTTTTATCACATTTGGAGTGCTCTGTGTTCTGGTGAACTTAGCCATTTGACTATAATGCTAACTATCTTTCAGCATAATCAAAGAGATCTTTTAGAATAGCTTTTGCTAGAGGATCAGCAATATGTGGTCTGGGTGGTCAAAATGTACTGCGCAAGTCATAAATGTCGAGTACCATTTGGATAGAGATCTTCAAATGAAATAATTTTGTTCTGGGCCTTTCAGACTTAAAGCTTACTCAGGCACTTGATAATGCTCCATGGTGATGCGGCGCTCATTAATCACAAGTTGAAGTATTTGTGTGAGAGAGGGCTGAGCAGGAGAGCTGAGATGGAAATTATTCTGAATGACAGATAGAGAAATCCAAGGTTATTTTGAATAGAAGAAACTAAATGAACCCAGAGGGAGAGATTGAATGTGTGTGTGTATGTGAGAGAGGGTGAGATTATGATGTATCCAAAGGTCGTTTACTGCACTTGGTTTATTAATGATGTGCTAAGAGGAAGAGACATTTGCAAGTCTGTCACAGCCCTGTGTGTCGTCCTGGTCACTCTGTGTATGGTCACTGTTACTTAATGTGTAAGATCAGTCAATTTATGTGTTTAGCACCTCAGTCATAACTACTGTATTTAATGGTAGGTTCACAGTAATTTACGGAGTGAATGAATTGCCACAGCTTACTGCATATAGAGTGAGATCAGTCACTATGACAACTGATTTGTGTCACATTAATGTCACGCATAACAGGCCGAATAAGGTCACTCTGTTTGTGTCCATAGTGTCAGAGTGTAGACTTATGTGTGCGGTTTAAGGTTACTTTTTTGGCACCGTTGGTTTCATTCAAGCTCTGTCAGATTCGCTGTGTATGGTATACACACCTGCCAAAAATGGCAAAGTCTTTTTATAGTCTTAACAGCACACGATTGGTCTAAAATTAGCAAATTTTGGCCCATTTTTTTTGCCCAGGAGATTATGCTGGACTTTCTATGTGCAACATAAGAGTTAATCAATGCTTGCAGCTTTACTTTTTGTTGACCATGTCTTGCTTGCCCTTCTAGAAGTTGCGATAAATGCTGTCAAAGTGGTCTTGTAACCAAAAGCAATTTTGGTTTGCCAATGTTACTGCAATTCTTAGCTGGTTCAAGGTGGTCTAAGCTGTGTGTTTGACACCTCTTGCTGGATATAGCTGGTCTGCGGCTGGTTATTGCCGCTCTGTTGGTGGACAAAGGTGGTGAGAGCTGGTTAAACTAGTAGGATAAGCTGGTTTCAGCTGGTAAAAAGCTAGCTGACCAGCTAAACCTTAAAAACACAGCATAATCCAGCTAAACCAACTTTGGTCAGCTGAAGTTATATTTTTAGCAGGGATACACCCTGAAAGTGCGGTGAACTCAAATGTTTTGTGGACATCGATTACCTCAAAAAACAAATTGTGTAGGCCAACTTAATTGCATTGT